CATGCAGCTGCCCTTATTCATGATGAGCATGCACCACTGGCTCATAGGGCATTCCTCTTCATGCCCAGGCCCTTCTCTTCAGGGTCATTCCTGAACTGCTCAGGTCCCAGCCTGGCCTCAGGTTTGGAGTTATCCTTCTCCCAATACAGGATTGGCTGCTTCTCCTTGTAAAACTTGGTGAGGGTTCTACTGACTGAATCCAGGATTTTTTCAAGGTCCCCCTGGAGTGAAGCTCTGTTTGGACAGCTGTTAATGTGTGTGTACAAATGGGTCACCCTGACATGCGGTGCTTCTTACAAGATAATAGCATCTGGAATTAGAAAACACTACAGATAATAGGAAGAGATTAATGGAAATGCTAGCCAGGATAGGAATTCCTATGGTGACAAGCTCAGAAGCACCAAATGAGGGAACAAAGGAAGCCAACTTGGACTGGGGCCAGGGAGGAACGGGTGAAGAGAAATGGGCTGTTTACATGAGAGGGTACACGGATGGTCAAGGGAAAGAAATTGTGAATCGGAAAAGAGAAAATATGCAAAGAAAAGGTGAAGCAAAGGACATAATAGAATCAAGAATCATAGAATCCCAGGTTGGAAGGGACCTCAGGGATCATCTGGTCCAACCTTTCTGGGCAAGAGCACAGTCTAAACAAGATGGCTCATCACCCTGTCCAGCTGAGTCTTAAAAGTGTCCAATGTGGCAGAGTCAACCACTTCTCTGGGGAGATTATTCCAATGGTTGACTGCTCTCATTGTGAAAAATTTCCGTCTCCTGTCCAGTCAGAATCTCCTCAAGAGCAACTTGTTTCCGTTCCCCCTTGTTGTCTCATTGTGACTCCTTGTAAAAAGGGAATCTGCATCTTCCTTGTAGCTACCCCTTAGGTACTGGTACATGGCGATGAGATCCCCTCTGAGCCTCCTTTTCTCTAGGCTGAACAAACCCAGTTCTCCCAGCCTACCCTCATAAGGTTGAGAGGCTTCCCAGTTTTTGGATCATCTTGGTGGCCCTGCTCTGGACCCCTCCAGCCTGTCCACATCTTTTTTGTACAGGGGGACCAGAACTGTACACAGGAATCCAGGTGTGGCCTGACAAGTGCTGAGCAGAGTGTGATCATGACTTCTTTATCTCTGCTGGTGATGCCCTTGATGCAACCCAGCATCCTGTAGCCTTCTTGGCCACAGCAGCACACTGCTCACTCCTACAGAGCTTCCTGTCCACCGGGACCCCCCAGTGCCTTTCCAAAGAGCTGCTCTCCAGCTGGGGGGATCCCAGCCTGTGCTGCTGAGATATTTTTTCCCTGCCAAGCTGCCCTGCATCTGAGCAACAATGCCTGGAGTAAGAGAAGAACACCACAGATCATCTGACTAAGCTTCTTTCTGGCTGACTTCAGTGGTCACTGGGAAATTGAGTGGTTTGCCATACATCATGAAGCCATGATCTGTTATGGAAGGAAATGCCAAATCATTTATTCTGGAAGGGATCTCATGAGGTATCTAAGCCCGGCTCCTGCTCAGAGTGAGGTGAGATATGGGATGAGAGCAGGCTGCTTACAGCTGTGTTCATTTTGCACTTGAAAAGCTGCAAGGATGGAGATGTCACAAACTCTCTGGGAAATCTGCTTCAGTGGCTCACTGTCTTGACAGGGAGAAAGCCTTTCCTCACTTGTTTCAGCTGGAATAGGAAAGATGCCCAGTGACCCTCAGCCTCCCATCATGCTCAACAGGCTCAATTTTCTTGCTGATACTCAAGAAGGCATGGGAAGGCTGTTGTCAGGTGTCCCCAAACCTTTCTCTTCTCCTGACTTTGCACCTTTGTGACAAAGGCAGCCATTGGCATCCTGGGCTGCATTAGGAAGAGCGCTGCCAGCAGGTGGGTGGAGGTCATCCTTCCTTTCCACTCATCACTTCTACAATCAGTCTTGCTCACTTCCCTCAAGGTTTTCTACCCTAACACATCACTTGCACTGCAGCCAAAGCTGCCCTCCATATCTTCCAAAAGTACTGCCTTGTTTTCTTGTGAACACCCATCTGGAAGAGCATTCCCAATCATGTCGTGTCATGGATCACCTGCCATCTTCCCTTCAATCGTGGCCTTCTAGCAGAGGTCCATGGACTTCCATGTTCTCAGTGATTACCAGGTCCTAAAATGGTGTCCCTTTCTCCAGCTGCCTTAGAGGACAACTCATCCCTTTCCAACCTTCCTCAGGCAGTGCAGGGGTCCTCACTAGAAGACCATTGTATATCATGGAGTTAGTGAGCCGTGCAACAAGGAACCTGAGTAGACCCAGGCTTGTGCTGTGCTGTGATCCATGTACAGCTTGGCCTTCAGGCTTTGTTGTGCTGAGCATATCCCTGGGTTGCAGAATGAATTTGATTGTAATGAGAAGTTGTCAGGCAGCTCCCACCTGGTACCAGTGATTAGGTTACCTGCATGCCCTTACCTATATCTGAAACTGCCACAACCAATTCCCATGTGAACAGTCTCTTGTGGGGGCAGTAGAAATGAGGACTTGAATTTGTTCCTTCTAAGATAACACTGAAAGAGCTCAGAGGAGCAAAATGAGATAACCCTTCTACAGATGGGATCTGCAAGACTTGCTGCACCACATGACCAGACAGAAGTAACCTCACCATGATCTTCCGAGAAACATGCCTGCTGCTGGCCTTTCTACTGCTTGGATAAACACAACCAAACCACGTGCCTGCTGCTGTCCCAGCAGGTACTTGGGCAGAAAGGACATGACAGCCATATCCAAGACCTCTTCCTGGATGGGCCTACCACATACATCGGGAAAGGGATTCCCACAATCAACTTGACAACCACGTGCCTTCTGCTGGCCTGTCAGAGACACTGGCACATGTGAGCCTAAAAGCACATATCCCAACCATGATTCAAGGGCTGAGGTGTAAGGTGCTTCAGGAAGAGGTGACCTCACAGTCCCTTTCCTATCCATGCTCCTGCTGCTGGCCTATCAACTTCAGAGACAGATGTGACCTCACAGCCACCTTCATAGCCTTGTGCCTCATCTGGCCCATGAGATCCTGAGGCACAGCTGACCTCGCCATAGCATTTCCACCCATCTCCTCCTTGTGGCCTGTGAGCTGATCAGATGCATGTAAACTCACTTTCCTCTGCCAACACCGTGGGACTTCTCTGGGATGTGACGATCCCTGCCCTGCCCTCAACAGGCAAAACAGCTGAAGTTTGGGTTAGGAGAGGAGACAAAGATGAGGGGGTTAGAGCATGGGAAGGCAGTGAGGGCAGTAGTTAAGGCATTTTAATAGTAGAGATGAGGGCTAGGGATTAGAGTGGTCAATAGGGTAAGAAGAAGAGGGGTTATGGGTTCTGGCTCTGGGTTAGAGGTAAGGTCCGAGGTTAGGGATACCTGATAAGGCTCAGCCTGGCTGAAAGATCCCACTGAAGGCAAGGATGCCATCACTGTGCCACAGTGGGTAGCGGGGCTAGGCGGAGGTCTGGCAGCCCCTCACTATCTGTCAATGGTTGCCTCGAATGTGCAGGGTATGCCTCTGTCACTCCCCTCACTTCTAATCTGCTACTTCCAGAAGAGGCCTAAGAACATGGCAAGAGCCTGAGCAGCCCAGACTCATGTCAGGATGACCCTGGATGATCCCAGGGAAGCTGATACTATTAACTACCAGGAACAAAATAGAGTCACACATACCTAATTATATCATAGCAACTCCTGCTAAAAATTTGCAGTACTGAGAACATTTTTCTGAACCACTGGAAGTTCCTTCTTCCCTCTGTCACTATATTAAGCAACCTCCTCTCTTATTTGTAAAGCACATACGGCACAGCTTTGCAACTAGGCCAGCACAGCACTTATCGTTAGGCCTCACATGCTGTGACTATGCACCAATGAGGGTATAAAAAAGAGGTAGAGATGCTGGCCCCTTGGAGCTCCTCTACCCCCCATGCACTGCTGGACCTCCCCTCCGTGGGTCTGAGATCCCCCATGCTATGCTACTCGCTGCTGGAATTCCAAACAGGTCATATCACTCCCTGGTATTGCTTGCCCTGTACCTTCTCCCCTCTCCTTGTGCTCCTTAGACATAAACCGTTGACCATGTCTGGGACTAAGGCTGGATCAAGCCACACCTAGACTCCTCTCTGAGAAGGAATTTAGAAAGCAAGGGGGTCTACTCTGAACCTCGTGATTCAGCGGGAAGGTCCTCCTTATTCTATGAGCCTGTAGTCTCTCTGTACCTTTCCCCACATCACTACACGAGTGTGCCATAGACTATACACGTATGTTACCAAAGTGCATGATGTGCTGTTAGAATACTGTTGAGTCAAGAATATCTGCTATTAAGAGTATTGTTGAATGCAATAAAGTACAGAAATTCTGCTATGAGCTAGACTCGCCTGCCCTTTGTTTGAGGCAGTGCAGCAAGCAAGCTTTGGGTCCTCTGTCTAAATTGCCTGACAATCATTAGTGAAGCGAGTTGCTATAAAGGAAGGAGATAATTACTGTCCCCGCTTGCATTGCTCAGGAAGAGGGCACAACACCACCACACACCCAACCATTGCACTGGGGTTAAACCAGAATGGAACGGTACTCTATCCAATGGAGCACAGAGTGTGGGCCCAATACAATGCAAACAAATGGCAGACTGCTGATGTCAATACATGTGTTGAGCAAGAAGAGCAAGGATTGATTTGTGAAAGCAATGCCATTAAAGCCCAAGACATTTGTCTTGACACTGAACAAGATGGTGGCCATTTTGACATACATCCTGACGAAACCTCTGTGCTTTTGTATATTGGAGATGGGTGTGTTTGTATGAGACCCGCTGTGATGTATAGCTGTAGGCAATATCACTGTAGATAAAAGCAATCACTCAAATATCCGAATACATAATTTTACTGAAATTATGGGATGTGACTTTAACTCTTCAGCTCCTATCACATCTTGTCAACTATCACAACTGAAATATACATCTTATAAAGATTTCTTATCTACCCTCACTGGAATGAATTTATGTCTTTAAGAAAGCTGTTACAGCATGATGAAACACCACCCATTGGATCAGATTCCATAAGTCATCATTGATTTCCTTGTTCCTCATGCTGTAGATGAGGGGGTTCACTGCTGGAGGCAACACTGAGTACAGCACTGCCACAACCACATCTGGAACTGAGGAGGAGATGGAGGGGAGCTTCAGGTAGGCAAACATGCCAGTGCTGACATACAGGGAGACAACAGCCAGGTGAGGGAGGCACGTGGAAAAGGCTTTGTGCCGTCCCTGCTGAGAGGGGATCCTCAGGACGGCCCTGAAGATCTGCACATAGGACAGCACAATGAAAACAAAACACCCAAATGCAATAAAGACACTGACCGCAATGAGCCCAACTTCCCTGAGGTAGGAGTGTGAGCAGGAGAGCTTGAGGATCTGAGGTATTTCACAGAAGAACTGGTCCACAGCATTGCCTTGGCAGAGGAGAATGGAAAATGTATTGGCCGTGTGCAGCACAGCAGTGAGGAACCCAGTGCCCCAGGCAGCTGCTGCCATGTGGACACAAGCTCTGCTGTCCAAGAGGGTCCCGTAGTGCAGGGGTTTGCAGATGGCAATGTAGCAGTCATAGGCCATGACAGTGAGAAGATACAGTTCTGCTGATATGAAAAAGACAACCAGAAAGACTTGGGCAGCACATCCATCATAGGAGATGTCCCTGGTGTCCGTGATGATGAGGCCGTTGCCCAGGAGGGCAGCCAGGTAGATGCCCAGGAAGAGCCAGAAGTGCAAGAGCTGCAGCTCCCGTGTGTCTGTGAATGCCAGGAGGAGGAACTCAGGGATGGAGCTGCTGTTGGACATTTTGGCCCTCTGTGCATTCAGATCTGTTCAAGGAGGTAAAGAAAGTGAAAAGTTGGGGCAGACTTCTCTTACAAAAATATATTCAGTTTGTTATAAAAAGCCCCCTAAACTCCCTTTCCTATTTCAGGAAGATCATCGATGAGCTCTGGTTGTTGCTGACTGAGGATCACCCAGGAAGCAGGAGGGTCTGCTGTGGGCTCTGCAGGAGTCTGTCCTGCCCTGCAGCAATAGGTAAAGAGGAAAACAGGATGATCTCAGTTATCTACTGCAGAGCAGAGTTGAAGGGATTTTTTTTTTTTTTTTTTGTTGCCCCACCACAGCTCAGGAGTGGTTTTCATGCTGATGAAAAGGCGGGGGATTATGGTTTGGGGTTTTTTTATGTTACCTGGATGTTCACCACCATTACTTACTGTTTATTCTCTATTTTCCCATGTCTAATAATCTCTTAAATATATCTGTAGATATAAGAATATATGGAGATATATACACATAGAAACATGTAAATGCAAACATAGCTATGGATAACTTAGCAGTTTTACACATCCCTGAAACCCAAAGTCATTATAAAGGGTATGAAAAGACAATTATTATTTTTTTAACCATCATCACACAAAACCTTTTAGGACCAAGGCGTTACAAGCAGCGAGGCATATATAGAAAATTTATTACATTCTTCCAAAATTCACAATCAAAACGTCCTAGTTCGGTGGATAAGCCACGCACCATTTAGGAAGAGTCCCATCTCCTCCCTTTGTTACGTCCTGAAGAGAGGCTGAGATCCCTGCCAGCCACACACACGGCAGTACCCAGAGCCCCAAAGGGTCACAGGGGGTGAGTGGGATGCTTTTCCTGCATGGACAGATGTGCATGGCAGTGCACACAGCATTCGTGTCTGAGCTCCTCTTGGCCAGGAGCTGTTGCCTTATCCCCACATCACCTCCCTCTGCATGCTCATAATCCCCTCCTCACCTGCCACACGCTCAGCTCTGCCCTGCAGACCCATCCTGGCAGCAGGGCACTGCCCAGGAACATCTCCATGTGTACAGGGGGTAAGAAGCAGCTCAGACAAGTGCACTGCAGTACCCAGAGCCCCAAAGATTCACAGGGGGCAAGTGGGATGCTTTTCCTCCATGGACATACATGCAGGGCAGGGCACAGAGCGTTGGTGCCTGAGCTGCACTTGAATCCTCAACCCCCCACACTAGGGAGTGGAACAGGAAGAGCAAGGGCAGCAATGAGAAGAGGGGAAGATGCCCAAGAACCTCTTTGGAAGGGAGGCAGGAGAGGGAGACCCAGTCAGACATGGGAGTTTGCCTCCTCTTTTGTGGTCAGGCTGCTGGGAAGGCAACTCTTGGGCGAGTCTCCATGACACTGAGGGCAGAGTCTCTGCTGTGTGAGTGAGGAGACCAGGGGGTGGCTCAAGGGAAAGCATCTGCACTGCAGGGGATGGCAGGGAGATGCCTGAATCCCTCCTCCCACGGCATTTCTGGCAGCAGTTCTCTCTCCCTTCCTGCCCATGTTTCTGCTGCCTGGAGATCTTCTTGGCCAGGACCTGTTTCTCCCCAGGAGAGGGCAGAAATCATGCAGTTTCCTTCTGAAAATGCAGCAGGGAAGCCCTGCTTTGCAGCACATCCTCCTCCTCTGAAAAGGGGAAACTGTGAGAGTCATCCCTAAGGATCATATCTGCTGTGGGATGCACCAGGCTTTGGATATCCCTCCAGGAACACCATCTACACTGTCCTGCAGCCAGAGATTTACCATATAGTGGGCTGTGAAGATCTGTTCCCCCTGTGAGCTCTCAGCATTCTCCCACCCCAGATTGCTTTTAACCTCTCTCTGCCTCACTCCTCTCCCCTCGGTGCCTGCAGGCAGTGCCCTCAGCCCTGCTGCCCTTTGCAGAGGAGCTGCTCCTGGGCAGAGCTGTCTCTCGGCAGTGCTGCCCACTTGCCATCAGCTCCCTCCATCCCAGGAGCCCAGCCCAGCTCAGCAGCAGAGGACCAGCCCAAGGCAGCCCTTGCTCTGCCCCCTCTGGGCCCCCTCCAGGTGTCATTGAGGCTCCAGAGGAACCTGCTGTGACACAGGCTGAAGTCATCCCTGATGCTCCCTCCCTGAAAGGAGCTTTGAGGGAAGAGCCCAGCCTTCAGGCACTGAACCTGGGGGATGTCCTTTGATTTGAGGAGTTGTTATCTGAAAGGTCACCCCTGACAGAGTGTTGTGCAAGAGTAAGACACAACAGGATCAATCCTCAAGACAAGTGGTATAAACACAGAAAAATATCTATAAGCAGGATTATCACAAGAGAAAAAAAAAGAGGACTGGTGGCCTAAGATAAACTCTGGGAAATGTGAGGAGAAGGGGACGCAGGCTATTGTCAGTGAAACAGTGTCAGTTGGGTCAGTCTCCATAGGGCCTCCATGAGGTCCTTGTTCCTCATGCTGTAGATGAGGGGCTTCACTGCTGGAGGCACCACTGAGTACAGAAATGACACCACCAGGTCTAGAAATGGGAAAGAGATGGAGGAGTGCTTCAGGTGGGCAACTGTGCCAGTGCTGAGAAACAGGGAGAACATGGCTAGGTGAGGGGGACATTTTGGAAAGGCTTTGTGGCATCCCTGCTGAGAGGAGATCCTCAGCACAGCTCTGAAGATCTGCACATGGGACATAGCATGAGTGGGACCCCACACTGGAGCAGGGGAAGAGCATGGAGTCCTTGAGGAGGAAGAAGTGGCAGAAGAAAGTGTGATGAACTGACTGGAACCCCCATTCCCAATCCCCCAGTGCCACTCAGCATGAGGAGGTAGAGAATGTTGAGAAAAACTGGGAGTAAAGTCTAGCCTGGGAAGAAGGGAAGGGTGGGAGGAAGGTGTTTTCAGAGTCAGTTTTTATTTCTCATTATCCTACATTGATTTGATTGGGAAAATATTAAAATTGTTTTCACCAAGTAAAGTCTGTTTTGCCCGTTATGGTATTTGGCGAGTGATCTTTCCCTGTCCTTATGTCGAACCACAAGTTTTTCATTATATCTTCTCCCCATCCCCAGCGGAGGGGGGAAAGTGATAGAGTGGCTTTGGTGGGCACATGGTGTCCAGGCAGGGTCAAGCCATCACAGTTGCTCAAGGTGGGGAGCAGAACAGGAACAATCAGGTATCCCCTGACACCCTTGAAACACGCCTTGCCACTGTCACAACCCAAGAGCAGCGGTACCATGGTTACTGGAATTTCATTAATCTCCAACTGGATTGTGGTCAGGATGACAGTTTACAAATGACTAAAGCCGAACATAGAATCATATAATCGTTCAGGTTGGAAAAGCCCTTTAAGATCACCAAGCCCAACCGTTCCCCTAACCCTGCCATCCCACCACTGAACCCTGTCCCTAAGCACCTCATCTGCCCAGCTTTTAAATACCCCCAGGGGTGGGGACTTGACCCCTTCCCTTGGCAGCCCATTCCAATGCTTGACAACCCCTTCTGTGAAGAAATTTTTCTTAATGTCCAACCTAAACCGTCCCTGGGGCAACTTCAGACCACTTCCCCTCATCCTTTCATTAGTTACCAGGGAGAAGAGCCCGACCCCCGCCTTGCAACAGCCTCCTTTCAGGTAGCTGTAGAGGGCAATAAGGTCTCCCCTCAGCCTCCTCTTGTCCAGACTAAACAACCCCAGTTCTCTCAGAAGCTCCTCGTAAGACTTGTGCTCCAGTCCTTATAAAACAGCAGATCGAAGTGAGGCTTCTTTGAGCTCTCCTGGACTGCAGTGGGCTGTGACCAGCCCCTCCCTCTGAGCCTTTAACTAAGTCACTATTTTGAGTAAAACAAATTTTGTCAAATCCCTTTGTTAACTGACTGATGATTGAGTGCTATCGCAATATCACAATCCAGTCCTGTGATTTGCTGCAAATGTAAAAATAAATTAAAACCTGGTACTAAATCAAATTGTTTAAAGTCATTCATTTGTGACAGATTAATTTGCGACAGCCACTCCTCATTTTTTGCACAGAGACAGTCACCCACCAAGATGTTGGTCTCTCTCAGCTGATACTGGGAAGCCAGGTGACCAACTTCAGTGAAACAGCCTGGGTTCAGGTGGCCACATTAGCACTCACCTCAACACATCTCTGTTACAGTGTCTACATAAAGGGATCTCTGGATCATCTATGAACACTCCCTGCTAATTCCTTCCTGGATAAATGAAGAGTGACTCCTCTTTAGGTGAAGAAAGCGAGGAGACCGGTCTCCCCCAGCATCAGACACCCCAGCGCAGATGTCAAATGTCTATGTCAAATGTCTATGTCTCTGTCAAACATCAAATGTCTATGTCAAATCAAGTTGTCTCGACTGCCCTTTCTAGTCAGTGGAGAGAAAGAAGGTGTCTCAAATGACGTCTCTGGAGATACTTTTCCTGGTGACCAGGTAACGCTCCAGAAGGGTTCCCATAGGACCTGGGTCACGTTCCTGAGCAGCATAGGGGTAACTTCAGCTACCGCAGGGCATCTGAGCTAGCAACAGCTGAGAGATATGGGCAAAGGAATTAATCAAATTAATTTGCTCCATCACCTTCCCAGGGCCTGTGACGTGGTTGACCAGCCTGTACTTCCCTGGAAGCTTCTTCTTTCCCTGCTTGAAAATGGGTGCAATTTTTGTCTTTTTCCCACCAGCAGAGAGCTGCCTGTTTTCCCTGGCATTTCAAAGATGATCAAGCGCAGCCTTGCAATGACAACAAGCCAGCTCCCTCAGCACGCTTGGGCACATCCCCTCTGGTCCCATGGAGCTGTGTGTG